ATGGGAGATAAAACTACATTTATTTTCAATTTTCATAATTGATAATTAGCGTCGCGGACAAGGGTTACTATGTTAACGTGTAATATCTACAAATTTTTAGCTAAAGGCTTATTACATAATGCTCTTCGAAAAATGCAATGTAAAAAAGATGTACATAGAGAAGAACCGTCAAGGGAAATGTAACGATGAGCTAATCCCATACCTCATTCGTTAAACATCGGACAAAAAGAGAATTCAAAATATCATATAGTTAACCTCATACCTCATTCTCAGGAGTTTCAAACAAATGGGATAAACACTAGTCCTCAAATAAATTGCAAGAAAATGGATAAGTAGAAACATACTTTCCATGAATTGCCGACATTAGGGAGGGAACATGTTTACATAATTTTGGCTGCGGCCTAAGACAATATCATTTTGGCAGCGACCTAATACAAAACAAAAGAGGTTAAGTTGCTTCACCACACAAATCCATTACAACCATAACGGCGACTTGGCAATCGCATCAAAATGCTCCAAGTTTCTTCTCTTTGGTGTGTCTCTTCATGAGAGTCACGAGCTTTACATCTATATTCAAACACACATGTCTTTGCAAGATTTATATTTCAACTTGATTTCCCAATCAAATAAACCAAATTAGAAAAAGAAAAATTCTTTCTTATTTTTAATGTAACTAAGGGAGTCAAATTTGTTATGGAATCATTAGTAGAACCATTCGTTGTATTTCCAGTGTTGCAAGAGATTATATTCGCTCGTCTGACATTGTCACTTTTTTTTTTTAAGGTGGTAATCCAGGTTTTTATTACCCAACTCGTTCTCCCAAGATGAGTGTTCCCACTCATCAGGTTTTCTAATAGGCCAAAAACGTGGCACCACTTCGAAGCCAAATGGAAATAGTTAGATAATTTCACGTTTGAAGAAAATTGAACCCTATCCTAGACCCACATAGCATTTTTTTTTTTCAAATGGAAACAACTATCCCACTACCACTTGGTTTAAATTGCCACTTGCTGGTATCAAGGAAATTATATACAATTGTATATTAATCTATTTTATCATATATTTTCAATTCATAGTTTTTCTTATTCTACTTAAATTAGATATACCTTTTTAATTTCTTTTTACTATATTACTACTCAAATTGATGAAAAGACATATATTACTATATTAAAAAAAATTTTAAAATCTTGATGAATTTATCTTTAAATTGATATGTCTGAAAGATTTTTGAGAAATTTTGAGAAATGCCAATATTAAAATGTTACTTTTCAAAACTACCACATTTTAAAAATCTTATATATAGAATGTGAAAACGGAAGACAAAATAATGTCACCTATGAAGTCATAAAATAAGATTGTGAACGTCATTATGAAACCATTTATAAAGAAGTATTTAAAATATTTATCTATTTTATTTTCATATTTTATTTTTTATATGTTTTTAATTTTAATTAAATTATATCACATATTTCTAAATAATTAAATTTTCTTAATCTTATTTAAGTTAAGTTTATATTTTTCTCACATAAATAAAGATATTACTATTTTAAAACAGGTAAATCTTTTCATATGTGTCTACATCTAATTCAAAGAATTCTCTTTCACTTATATAAATATGATTGATTGACTCATGAATGTCTCTATAAGATTAATTACAAAGTAGACGAATCAAATTTGATGATATCTATGGTGTAAATAAAACAAAAGTTAAGTAAGAAAAAATTGTATTAAGCTCAGAAAAATAATATAGATCGTCATATCATATTACACCTATTGAGTAAGATAGTAATCATTGTTTTTTCTGATGAAAATGCTGAAATTTTTTTTTTGTAAAAGATTATTGAAGTTTTAAATTGCTTGGTGAGAAAATGGAAAACACACAAAAGTGTTTAAATAAAAGTGAAATATCATAATCCTTGAAGATTTGGGTATGCAAACCTGATTCTATTCAAACTTAAAAGATTTTAACATGTAGTTTAGAATAGTCCAATTAGAAAAGTTATTTGATTTATTGACTTATCTATTTCTATT